TGTGTGTGTGTGTGTGTGTGTGTGTGTGTGTGTGTGTGTATTTTTTTATCTATACTAACCTGTCTAAGAAAAATCACAGATTATGTTACTTATGTTATATTTATTTAAAGCGATCACATACATCATAACAGACATAAATAGGATACTCTAGATGTGTCATTTATATCGATAAACTATACATTCTTTCCGAGTACTTGACACGAGGTCATGTAACGTGAACACATAATTATAATATGCTATTTGTTTTTAAAAGCACTCTTATATACCATTTAAAATAAATAAATGTCACTGTAGATATCCAACAGTGATAACATAAAAATCTTCGACATTGGTATAAATATCAACAGCATTACATGCAAAGTATAACTCTCTGTGAAGTTTAATTGATAACAACATGTTAAAATATTTCAGTGCTATATAAGATACTTTATGAATCAATAGTTGTCTTATAACTCGCTACCTTCATTGTGCTCATAATGCTCGAAATGATATTTTTATTAAACAGATTTTTCTTTTAATATGTAAATCTTTTTCAGTTTCTCTCAAAATAATTCTAAATAGGTTCATAAAATTATTGCATTGGAATTTTACTAAGAAACAAAAAACTTTGTGTAAAAAGTATTTTGTGTCAATTGTGCAACTTCTAAAGAAGTTGCGTGAATATAAGTCGTTACTGTTTCAAATAAACACATATCACACATCTTGATTATCATTAATATAGTATAGAGATACCTAGAAATGTCTGCAGAATTTTGATAGAAAATCTATTAGAAAATTTTTGATTTCTAATGTTGCTTTGGTCTTTCATACTTTGACTTACATAAGCTCTAGTCGTAAAGACTAACAGTTCTTTTACACATGAATGATTACACATTTAACTTGTTATGCGATGATGACGATTATGTGATTACAATTTATTATTTTCGTCATTCCTTATTATTATTATTATATAGTATATCAAAGAAAATTCAGTAGTATTATGATATTTTAAAATGCTTGAGAAGTCAATATGTGGATAAAGCAGTTAAATTGATAGAGAAAATAATATTCAATATTTTAGATATAAAAGCAGGTAAATTTCGCGACATATAGGTTCCTACAAATCGGAATGTTGGATAATTTGGATTACGTGAAATGAGTAATAATGACATGTGTATAATGAAAACATATGATTCTGTGAATGTGTCTCTTAAATTAAGAAAAGTTCTTACATTTAGCAGCGATGCACTTGTATAACATGATTTCCTATTTTGCTCTTATCGTAAAAATTTTACAATGATGATATGAGCGAACAAAAATTTGTGCGTCTTTTTTCACATCGTGCGTTCGTGCGGACGCAGTGAAAGTGGAGAATCGGTATTAGCATTGTTGTAAACTTCTGCCGACAGGATTTACATACACCTACATATTAAACACGAAAATTCTTAATTTATTGATAATTGATATTTTCATTATTTATCAAAGTATATAAATCATTTATACGACTTAAAATTACTTTCCTTTGGTGTATTACCTCTAGAATCTTACAGCCAGTATAAATTGATCGAAAACATAATTGTAAAAAGGTGATTAATACGAATAACAAGATTCCTTCGGCTTACACGCTTATGTTGATAATTTATAACACATTGTGTTGATTATAATGGATAACAAATGATGAATATTAACTCGTCGCAATCAACTGAGAACACAACTTTGTTCAATCTTAACATTTTTAGTAAACCTCCAACAAAACACATAAACTTCTATACAGTAGTTACATAACAGTGATTCATTTTAAATTAATTTTAACTAAAATTGCATTTCTATATATACATTTAATGATTTAATTAAACATGTTTACTGAAGTATTTTCTTATTTCGTAATGTAAAGTAATATTAATGTTTGTGCCTTGTTACGAAAATAAATGAGATAAGTAAAATGAATCGAAATAAATACATATATGTATATTTCTTAATTGCAATATGTAAAATATCTCATGTTCAACTTACACATATATAGCTTAATATGTTGATGGAAAGCCTTTAGTGGTCTTGACTTAGTAACATTTTATATATACGCAACAGATATTAATTGCCATTAAAATTAAATTTCAAGTAGAATTTCATGGCTCTTTTTGATTAATACACAAACACACACACACGAAAGTTAGTCCAAAAGTAAGTTTCCTTACTTTAGGAAAAATAGAAAAACAAAGTTTAAAAATCTGGAAAATTTTTTTAACTTATTACATACACTATTTTTCAAAAAAATTGATATTTTTTTCTATGCATTTGTTGCATCATGAAAAAAGTTTGGATATACTTCCGAAAAGGAGAACCCTCCGATTTTCTTCTCGATTGGTATCTTAATGCACTAATTACGAATATGATCGTGAAAATTACCGACAAGATTATTTTCAAGGTTAAATATTTAAAAACAATTTTTTTCACATTTTTTCACGCTTTTTGCGTAGAAAATCGTACGCCCTTTCGCAGGGGAGAGAGGATGAGAGTCGCGCGGACTTTGCGCTACTTGTAATCACATCAGATGTAAAAGTTTATATTTAACCGTAAAAATGACCTTGTCGGCAACTTCCATGATCATATTTGTAATCAGCATACAAAAATACAGTAGTATAGATAAAAATCGATTTTTAAATGTTTGACCTTGAAAATGATCTTGTCGGTCATTTTCATGATTATATTCGTAATTAGAGCATCAAAATACAGTAGTATACCAGTAGTATACTAACGACAAGAAAATCGGGGGGTTCACCTTTCCGGAAGTATACCCAAAGTTCTTTCATCTTCCTAGTATCTCGGCGTGTCCATTTTTTGCGAGTCGTCTATGATCAATCCAAAAATGAGTTTCCCTTTTTTTTTTCGTAAGAAACGAAATGGGGTACGTTTGGAAGTGTTACCCGAGTGCCTCCGTACATTTTATTCTTGTTCGTCCAATGTTAAATATGTATAAGATAATACGCAGGGACATTCGGGTAAAGTTTCCGAACACAATCTTGAGTGAATTCTTAGAAATACCCTTTGTACTCTCTGGATTTTGCTCCACAAGTAACTTTTATCTCTTCCCCAAATTGAAACTGTAGGCATCAACGATTTAATAATGAGGAAGTTAAGGCTGTTAATAGATGGCTCATGAAAATGAGTACAAACAAGGCGTAGAAAAATCTTTTTCACGATACAACAAATGTATAGAAAAAAAATGGTGAATTTATAGAAAAATAACCAAAATGAAATGAGTTAAAATTAATTTTTTTAGATTTTTAAATTTTGTCTTTCTGTTTTTCATAAAATAAAGGAACTTACTTTTGGACTAATCCTCGTATAATTATACCACAAGGTGCAACTAGTCCATATAAATATATTTGTGTAATACTTCACGTCAAATAAACAAAATTTTTTATCGATGGCTCAATGTAAGTGTTGTAATTTAAAATACTACGTCTTTCTATGTTTCTTAACGCAAATTCTCTTTATCGTGGACAATAGACGAGTAACTGTCTTATTAATAATGTGATATTTGCAGCTTAATATCACACCTGATTCATAGGGTAAGAATCATCCTGATCATCATCATTTTTTCTTTGAAATTAAAGAAAATCGTAATATAATATAAGAAAAGAAACAAATTATTTTATCTTGTACCAAAGTTAATAATAGATAACAAAGGGTTTTTTTTTAATTTGATTTTAGGATCTTCAGAGAATTGTTCATTATGATTGCCATATGAAAATCGTATGGAAATAAATTTTACAAAATACATTATAAGTATATATATATATAAAATAATTAATTTTTTTTTAAATTATCAAAGTCTTTTTTTTCAAAGACATTTCGTCCAATATATCTCATTAATCTATGACATAAATCATATGATACGTATACTTTTATATATGTAACAATAAATAAATCTTGAAGTAAAAACAACGGAAGCGATACTAAAGAAAATCTATTAACATAACGTTGTCAAAAATCAAAGAAAATAATTTTTTAATGTAGAAATCGGAAAATGAACCATGAACAATGATTCAAGCAAGCTAATAATATAATGCAGCGATGAAGCGATAATGAAGCGAAAGTAGAACGATTAATATGAATATATGAACGTACAACCTATTGGCCAGTGGTTTCCGTATCCTCCTTCGATGGAACAGACCTTGATCGATAGGAATACAATGTAAAAATGATTTTGTGTGATATTAATGAGTAGCAAACCTAAGAGTGTATTGATACTTCGAAACGAAAATGTGTATGTTGGTATTATGACGGGTAAAAGGAGTATGAGAGAGACAAAGGAAAGCATAGAAGTGAAATCCCATTCATGTTTTCGCATTAAGTGATCCTTACACGTAAAGCTTGATACTCTTTCTTTTTGTAAAAATTACCAAAAACCTCCCGCACTGCGCCCGCCCGGTGGATTATTTACGCGAATGCATGCCCTTCGTGCTTCTTCGACATCCTCTGTAAAAAAAACGCGCTTATATTCCTACAATATGAAGAATGAAACAAATGAAATAAAAAAATCCCACTTGATTTACGATAGTTCAAAGTCAGACAATTTAAGATTATTCTTTATTAGTATGATACCACCAGAAAGTATATGTCACGTGTCTAAAGATTAAAAAAAATAATTTATAATAAAACTCACCGCTGATAGAGAAAGTAGAATCTTGTAGGTTTCTTTGTCCTTCGAGTCTTGGACCCTTCGTGGATGGTGTTACCACGGCGGATTCCGGTAAAGTGGGTACACAAATGGCTGCTGGCAATTTTATCTTTGGACTGTCGTGAATTGAACCGTTCTGATTGACTCGTGCCGCTGCCGCAGCTGCCGCTTTCGCTTGTTCCTTAGCCTTTGCAATCGCGACGTCTTCTTCGGCATATCTCTTTGCCTCTGCTTCGGTTCGTGCGACTCCACGTGGTTTCTGCGCAGTTATAGTATAATTTCTAATTTCAGTAATAAAATTTTAATTAACATTTAATTTTATTCTAACTTGTTCGAGTTTTAAATTAATTAAAATTTAGTAAAAATATATCTACTTTAACATTATAACATTATAACATTATATGCATTATTTAAAAATAACACATAAAGGTTGAGTTCCAATATTCACTGCCAATACCGAAAATATATGAGATACGTTACATGCTCTATACATGTTTCAGCACTGGCAGTGAATCGGAATACAATCTAAAGTAAAAAGTAATAAATAGTAGAAAGAGAAGAAAGAAAAAAAAAGAATCGATATGTTATACCTTTTCTTTGTCATTTATCATATCGTACACATAGGTCCCGAATGGATCCGCGTTTATGTATTTTCCGAAGCCATGAACAGCTTTGAGCTCACACTCGTCTACGCATACTCGTCCGTTGACAATCACATATTCAGGTACTCCAGTTACTTCCATACCCTGTGTGTATTAATAATATTAATTAAATAATTAAATTACTACCACATGATATACTTTTTATTATAATTAGCAATCATGTAATTAGCAATAATTCAATAATGTCTTTTTGAAAGAATTATTATTGATAATATGATAGATGGCAATCGACGTTGAGAATATGATAGATCGCAATCTTTCATATTTTGCGATGAAAATAGTCTACATACAATGCATTCTTATTGGACAATATTATAATTATCGAAAGCGGATGACTCAATCAAACTTGCCTCGAAGATGTTGAAGTCAACAGCTTGGACGTGGGTCTGGGCGGAAATGGTACGTTTCCTGTTGGGATCCCAGACGACAATGTCAGCGTCTGAGCCGACGGCTATAACACCCTTTCGAGGATATAAATTGAAAATTTTGGCAGCATTTGTGCTGGTAACTGCAACGAATCGCATAGGGTCCATTATTCCAGCGTGCACACCCTTCTCCCAGAGCACTGTCATTCTGTCCTCTACACCATTCACGCCATTGGGAATCTTCGTAAAATCGTCTTTGCCTAGAGCCTTTTGCTCGGCATTGAACGTGCAATTGTCGCTGCCGGTAACTTGAAGATTATCTCTGAAAAAATCGTATTAGTGCATATGTCTGAAGATCATACTCTCGGAAGGAAAATTAAACCATCAATTAAGTACCTTGACATCGAGTAAAGGCTAAAGTAATCAAAATTAATAATACGAAATTAAATAATAGTAAACGTCAAATGATTAAAAGTTGGGGGATGATTCTCATTTAATAGTAACCGTTTAAACTAGCAGTTTTTCTTCTATTCATTTAATCGACATTAATGCGCATCACCATAAAGGCAACTTCCTACGTCGGAGCTATTAATATCCAGACTAAGAGTTACGCTTATGTCATTCTCGTAATTTTGTTATTAAATATAATTTATTGTCATGAACGTTTGAGCGAAATAATACAGGGTAATAATCCAACACAATTCTTAAATCGGAAAGAGAATGAAAAAAAAAAAAGATTAATAGACTACATAAGAGTATAAATAAAAAAAAATTATACATAATAATATTCATGATGTGCCAAAATCATAGTCTTCTCATTTTTCATTTTTTTGTTTAATTAGAAACAAATATCTCTTAACCAACAAGTTAAAATATTTATAGTTTTTAATATAAAAAAATTCAATTAAATGTGATGCGAGAAGAAACAACCCAGCCATTATAAAGACATCAGGGATTCTTTACACAATCTACTTACTGGGCCAGGTGTTCAGTTAGATAGGCAGGTGTCGTTGGGTCAGGCCGCAACGGTGGGTTAGTAATAAAACGCCTTGCTCTCTCCACGTCTTTGCCATATTGCTCGCTACCATCGATACCGATGGTGCTTGCCAAGGTTTCCCCGAAAACGATGATACCGTCCGATCGCTTTGCCGACACAACGTCGGCAGCCGACTTGCTTGAAATCGCCGTTATGTACAACGGACTATTCACCTAAACGCGATATTTTTATTCTCTCATTGAACTGTTATATTCTTTTTATCTTTATGTTTAATATTATTATTAGGTTATTATCTATTAATCAAAAGAATTTATAACTGAAAAAATGTATACCGAAATTCAATAAAAATTTCAAAATGTTTCAATATTAAAATTATCGCTATTATCTTTTATTAGGAGACACAATAGTGTCTCGCGCTAAGTTATATAATCTTGTATTCTATATACGAATATTAGTTTTTAATTATACTAAAGTATTATATAAAATATATGAAATATATAACATTAGCGTATAAAATTAAATCTGTGTTTTTAATTCTAAACGTACATATTTTATGATAAGTATTGATACTATAAGTATATGTCAAATTCTACACAAATCAAAAAGCTATCAAACAAAATCTTTTTCAGCCGTGCTCGATTTACATTTAACAATTTAAAAAAGTTTCAACTAAAACATATTTTTATATCAACTCCTATATAACATTTTATATGTTTTTACATGCGCAATACATAATGCTAAAAGTAATAAAAATAATCATAAGAGAGAAATATTGTGTGTAATAGGCAAATGAATAAAAATAAGAGAAAAAGGATAAACAAAGATAACAAGTTACGTTCAATATGCATGCTGAGTAAATTTTGACGGTACTGTCAAATATAAATTTCAGTATGCGGACGGCATAATTGTGCAATTTGCGCATATGTCACGCAAGCGTCTAGCTGGATTACATAGAACCTTGA